GGGGGAGGGGCGGGGAATCAACGTGTCAAGCTGAAAATGTCCGCGTCGGGACTGAACGTAATCGCCTCAGATTTCCTAATTATGAGTGAGCTGGGAGGGGAAGAGAGGACGAATCAGCGAATCCAAAAATCCCCATTAAGGATAAGACTCAAATTACCGGGACCTACTAATAACAGCTATAGGAAAGCTTCTAACCTCTAATCCAACCTCGAAAGCGCCTGACTGTTACTTGGATAAAAATGAGCAGAAGACCCGCCTATAGGCAGTTCTAGTTGAGGTTCTGCAAATACTTTTGAGATAGAGAGAATTCGCAGGCTCCTCTTAAAAAATATTGAGGCAAAAGCCCTCTTTTGGTTCCGCGAATGAAGTTGCATTTAGCACTGAACTCCAGGCATCAAAGGCGCAGTATAAGGCAAGTGATCCGGATTACTGGTGAAGCAAGAACCAGTTTCGAAGGGAAGTAACTTCAGAAAATTATTCTCAGGCCACTGTTCATCTTCATATCACCACCGAGTCTAGTCTGACTACAAAGATCTGCGACTCAAACCGACACCGGCTCGGATACGAATGCAGATGGGTAAAAGAGAAGGCTTTTCGAGCACTGACACAATTGTTTTATTGTCCCGAGCTTTCAAACTCCTACAGGACAATAAACCAATTGTTCTGGTACTCGACAAGCCCTCTCCTTTACCCATGCAAACACCTCGAACGCGAACTTTCTCACTGACATATGAAAATCTGCGAAAGCTTATTTGGTTAGCTCTCGTGTTCTACCAAGTTAAATGACACATTTGGACGTCTGACCGAACCTTTTTATGAAACTATGACGCTTATTGAGAAGCTCCTATTTTGATTTGCCCAAATGTTCACTTTTTCCTAGACAACTTGAGGTCTCGTAGCGGGAACTGCCACTTTGGCTGGCGCTCCTGGAATGTCGAGAATCTCCCCTATCCCCCCCCACCCCCAAAATTAAGTTAATTTAACGTGCTCCTTAAGTCACAACTATCTACAGGGAGCTGGATTGGGACACTGCAGCCCAAAAATCCACAAAATGTCTGGATAAAGAGAGAGGCAGGGAGAAGATGAAGCACTCACGACCGTGATCAGTGACAGGTCCATCAAAAACGGCGTCTTTTCGAGAAGCGAAGAATCTGTTGAAACAGGCACTTGACTTTGAAAGATGCTCGAAAGAAGTACTAGTTGCGAAATTGTGGCGAGATTCTGTGATTGGGGAGGTCGTCTGGGTTGAGTCCGTGAGGCTTTGCGAACCGCGCCACAGCTGAGGTGGGCTGGAGGATGCCCAGATTGGCGTGCGCTGGGCATCGGGATCCGCTGCATACCAGTTCGCCCAGTTACTCATTACGGCTTCAGATCCTGGGAGACAGACAGATTCTCCAACCACGTCCGTCTTCTGATTATTACTTGGGGCGAATGCGTGGAGTGGGTTGAAGGCCGCTACGGCTGGACTGCTGGTGGTGCTGATTGGATGAACCACAAGTGGGCGCAATAACCCCGAAGAAGGGGCACCGGGGGCTGATTGATTAGGAGTGGATATCTGATGATAAGTAGGCCAGTTCTGCACTTCCTGCGTAGGGGTAGAGCGGCGAAGAATACCTGGAAGAAAGGTAATCGAGGGGGGAGGGGTTGTGCATTGAGAAAAATTGCAAATGGAATCCGCGACAAGATAACGAGCCCGTGGCTTAATTGTTAGGATTTCTGGCCAACGGATCGCGGGGTTTGAGCCTCAGGGGTTGCATACCCTGTGGTTGGGTATTCCTGGCTGACGACTGCTTATAAGCCAGAAAATACCGTTCCAGTCTCCGTCGTCTTTACCAGCAATAGTAGCTGCCTGTACTACTAACTGTTACAGCTGTTGTCAAGGCCCGATAAATGACAGCAAGGCAAAGGCGGAGCGGGTCAAAAGAGATCTGCTAGAGGTCGGTGAACGTTCATCAACTAGATAAAGTAATATAGGAAAGAATTGCCTTAAAATCAGGAGCAGAACCCTTGCCAGGTATGGATATTTTCTTCTAATCACGTGAATATAACAAAACTGGGGAGGACCTCGTTTGTTGATTCGATTATCCACACGGGATGGAGAAAAGCATACCTTTCTGACATTCTTACAATAGATAACAGAACTCACGAAATGTCATAACTGGTATTGTATTCGCTAAAATGGGGCATGACTACTGCTGCTTTTTGGGTTTTAAGGCTGGGTGAGGCACAGACAGCCTTATACTCAGTTGGAATTTTTTAATCACAGTGTTTTGAAAGAAAAATAGGACTGCCTTTGGAGAAAATTGTGGTTTTCCGATATCAAAGCAACATTTCATGTTGCTTAAAATCACAGATCAAAGGATCTTGTTTGCGCGACATCAATTAAACTGAAGGGTGACTTTCCATCAAGTCCATTCTGGAATCGGAAGATCTGCCGGATCAGGTCTGAGAACATAAACTGTCTTTTCTACAACCGCGGGTAAATTCTGCTCTAAGAATGCTGACTTCCAGATTGGTGACCTTTTTGGCCGTACAATAAAGTAAAAACCTCGCTTAATAATACTTTTTTTTATCACACTCTATATAAAAAGACGTCACCAAATATAAAAGGAGTACTCCCGAAATACTGCCATGTTTGTCCCGCCGGGAAACAAAGACTTCGAAACAATTTATATTAGTAGACATCCGTGAACTGACTAGGAAATTAGCACACAGAAGTTTTTTGCATGCGCCGATAGTAAGCATTTTTTATAATATTAAGATCACTCTCATGTGAATTACTTATGAGGAGACTAGGTGCATAAAGAAGCAGGCTAATCCGAAATGGTGCATGTGTAAAGAAGACGCAATTTTGTTCACAGAGTACTAAAAAGCAGCAATATGTGCCCACTGAGGCAAGTTACGCGGACATTTACAGATGTTTTCTCCGAACGTATTTGGAAAAACGATGAAAACCTTCGAAATGCACCTACACAAGACCAACCTATGGGTGTTTTAAGTTAGTAATTGATTAGATAATGTCTTTGCTTGTTGAGAATTACGCTAACCGCGAGCCGTCATTCTGGAAGAGCATTCAATTTTGTGCGGGTGACTTGTTTTCAGATAGGCCAACGAAGACGACCCATGTGGTCGTGGTTGGCAAGGACTTCCCATGAGAGAACGCTGCGCCTGGTTACTATATACCAGAACTATCGACGGTAGATGGTTCGGATAGGCTTACAATTCAGCCAACGACTGCATTTGCTTAGAAATAAGCAGTGACCGACAAGTGAGCAAGACGACGACTTTATTCGTCGAACACAAAAACCAGTGTCACAGAAAGCATTTGCCGATTTTCCCTATGACCATAATGAAGAAGAGGATGAAGTAGTTTGAATTTCACGTTTTATGCAACTAATCTCGAGTACACACTCCTTCTGAAAGAGCATTTACTACTGCAATGGGCCTATGTTTTTAGATGAACCTACGAAGATCCACTTGGTTAAATGCGACCATTGCACAGTGCGCCAAGTTTACACTTGTAAAACTGTCGACGGTTGGTGAGTAGATAGTTACCAACTTGAAAGTACTACCAACGGACACTGTCAACAGCAAGTTTTAAATCAACATTTTGTAGTGTGTCTCCGACTATAACGGTGTCCAGTGAATACTATACTTGCACATGATAATGATTTACATTCATCGCCATGAAACGGCCACAAAACAAATGACTTTTACATCTGTAATCTTCCTTGGTAGACAACAGACCTCCGCTCCGTTATCAGTCTTCAAATTACTTTTATTCTCGCCAACAGTCTGGAACTTTTTGAGTCTTTCACTACACAGAATACTCGATTTTATGCCTTATAATTAGCTTTATCATTCAAGTAAGAACAACTTGGTGGTCTCTTCATCTGACATACATATTAGTAAATATATGTGCTTGCCCGATTTGGAAGAGGAAAAATTAAGTTTCACTTCGTCCTGATCGGCGAAGCACATATATCCATCATATGCCCGATCTCAGCCGAGAAAGCAGTGAGCCCGTGGTGTCGTGGTAGGGTGGTAAACGCAATGACCAAAAGTTGCGGGTTCGAAACTCGGGGGTTCCAACCCTTGAGATTGGCTATGCCTGGCTGATGACGACTAACAAGCCAGAAATGGTTATTCAGGTCTCTCTTTGCTCTGCCAGATCAATTTCATATATATTAGTTTATTATGTGAAAAAAACAGTGAAAAAGTAAAGTTTTTTTGAATTTGTCCTTATTTTCCTATTTTGATGCACCATCATCATTATGACGTTCATATTTCGTCTTAAGTAAAGGATTTTTGATGAAGTAAGGCTTTTAAAGTTCCTTTTTTTTCGGTGCAAGACTTTAATTCTAAGTCGACAAGTAGTGATTCATAAACGAACCTCCACTTTCTTGTAAAGAACGGTCATTTAGTTAATTCCCTAAAACGTCTGCGTTCGTTGGAGGGGTGCATGGACCTTACAAAACGACGCTTTTCGGATATTTGCCACATTCGATGAGGTATATCAGGCGTGTTAGGCCTTAGGTATAGACGAGTGCCAAGCATTCATTGGTTTACATCTGAAGAGGCCCATTACATAATGGTGCCTTAATGCCACCATTCCTTCCCCCGACGCTGATCGGAGGACACCAGCCGCAAGTTCATTTCCTCCTCCAATCTAAAAACAAAATTATTTTTTTCTTATTGCCCGCATAATTTACTTATTTACATAGCAATTTAGCAATTGTACACACCCAAAGAGAATTTATCGAATGCAAACCAATGCTCACCAAATTGCATTTTGGATTCACCAGAAGTTTGTAAGCTATCCTCAGTACAAGTGTTGTACTTATTAGGCATTAAAGCGCTCAGTATCTAAGCCGTCCCAAGTTAAATTAGGAAAGGAAATGCTTTTTGCTTGTAAAACTCAAAGTCTCGACATAAAAATTTCTCTTTGCTGTAGAAAATTTCCTACATAAAATCGGAAGTCTCAGCGAGCGTGTAAACTACTGGGCCATCTAGATTCTCGACTGCATTCAAAATTTTGTAAAGTTATTGCCTACTTCTAGTTCCGTCAAGGCCTACCAGCTCCATCTGGAGGTCTTTTCCGGCAGCAAAGAGAGCAACATTGGCAAGGGGCTCACCGTTATTCCCGTCTGCGACAACAATGGCCTCCTGTACGGTAGTGATCATTGAATACACACACGTGCGAGTTAGGCCGGTAGCGTTGAAAGTCAGAGAGGGAGGAAGGAATGCGTCCGGTTGTCCCGGATGAGCAGATTTGAGCCCAACTTATAACGCGCTGGAGGTGAACTCTGCGGAGGGAGGGAGGTGACGCGACGTGTTGGTTCAAGGGTCTGCCCTTGTTGGACTTCATCTGGTTGCGCGCGTTCTATGGCCAAAAGTTCGAGTAACGTCCACCCCCCCTTCGCACGAGGTCTCAACACCAGCCCTCCCCCTCAGCCTGCTAACGCGAGGACGGGTAAGGCAGATTCCCCTTTC